TTTATAATAGGAAAGCCAAGGACCGTTCCCTAGAACCAGGAGACAAGGTCATGTTACTTTTGCCAAGTGGCAGCAATAAACTGGAGATTGGTTGGCAAGGGCCCTACTCGGTTGTGGAGAAGGTGTCCCGCACCAATTATAAGATCTCCAAAAGAAAAGAGGAAAACTGAAAGTCTTCCACATAAACCTGCTTAGAAAGTATTTCGAAAGAACAGACACTACCCCGGTGCACTTGATGACACTTGCGGTAGCTACGGAGGTCGAATGTGGAGAGGCTGCAGGGGTCGAGTACCCGTTACAACCTCGAGAAACAGCTCAGGACGTGGAAATAAACCCCATCCTGTTGGATTCGCAACAACAAAGAATAAGAGAGGTCTTAACTGCACACTCAGCAGTGCTCACAGACAAACCGGGTCGCACAAGTCTGGTCGAGTTTGACATGAAACTGACCAGTACGGAACCGGTCAGACAGAGGTGTTATCCTATACCTTATGCTAAGGAGGAAGCCCTCCAGGCTGAGATTGCTCACCTTTTGCAAGAAGGAATTATCTCCCCTTCTGAATCACCTTATAGTGCTAGTGTTGTGCTCCTAAGGAAACCTAGTGGGGAGCATCGGCTTTGCATTGACTACAGGCAACTAAATGGGGTGACGGAATTCCAACCTGAACCCCTACCTGACCAAGGACAACTATTTTCTAGACTTAGCAAAGCTAAGTACTTTTCCAAGATAGACCTCAGTAAGGGGTACTACCAGATCCCAGTTAAAGAAGAAGTTCGCCCTTATTTAGCATTCAGCACCCCTGAGGGGCACTATGAGTTCAACGTCTTACCATTCGGCCTTAGCAATGCACCTAGTGTGTTTACCCGCATGATGAGAATGCTGTTAGGCCCATTAAAACGGCCAACGCTACAACATTTTATGGATGACATCCTCATCGCGTCAGAGCATTTTGAAGAACACCTCAACACTCTCGACACTTTGCTAGGAAGGCTTGCAGAAGTGGGGTTAACAGCCAGGCCTTCTAAATGTAAACTGGCTTTTGGACAACTAGAATTTCTGGGACACACCATATCACAGGGATATATGTGCCCTGAACAAAAGAACGTGGATAAGTTGCACAAGGCACCTAGACCAAAAACTAAGAAGGATGTGCGGTCCTTTGTATCTCTGTGTGGGTTCTATCAAAAGTACATACAAGACTTTAACACGATAGCCTCCCCACTTACAGATGCTACAAAAAAGGGAGCCCCAGAGATGGTGCGTTGGTCAGCTGACTGTGAAACAGCCTATGCTAGCCTCAAGAAAAAGCTAACCTCCAAACCTATTCTTCAGCTCCCGGACCTCACTAAAACCTTTACGTTGAGGACTGATGCCAGTAATATAGGAATAGGAGCGACCCTACTCCAGGAAGGTAGAGAAGAACCATCCATGTTGTTTCCGATAGCATATGCCAGCCGGAAGCTCAACGGTGCTGAAAGAAATTATTCAACCATTGAGAAAGAGTGTTTATCACTAGTATGGGCAGTGCAGAAATTCCAGCCATTCTTGTACGGAACGAAATTTAAAGTACAGAGTGACCACCAGCCTCTAATGTTTCTAGCGGCATCTAAGAAGCTCAACACTAGGCTGATGAGATGGTCACTGTTACTCCAACCTACTACACTTTTACAGTAGAGTACATTCCGGGGAAAGAGAATGTAGGAGCAGATTTCCTGAGTCGTCACCCTCCAGAAGAGGAGAATGATCAAGCTAACCCAGATGAAGGAGATACGCCAGATGGTCATCTTAGTCTCTAAAAAGTTTGGATCCCAGAACTTTTTTTTTACGGGGGGCCTATGTGACAGTACTGGCAATGACCACTGACGCTCCCCTAGTTACCTTATAGTTTAGGGCAGCAGAAGCTATATATATATTAGAAGTTAGAGGATGCGAGTGCTTACACAACTTCGATGAGATTTTCGCGTCGCCTAGCAACCGGCCTTCCCCTAATACTTTCCGCTAAAAACCGGATAGGGCTAGTTACATTTAACTCATGGATTACTAGTTTGGCAACCAATCACAGTGCTCGGTCCGACCAATCAAATAGAACGTACCAGATGGCGCTTCATCTTTTTGGCGCATGCGCATGACTGGCGTCACGTGGGTCGTCCATTCTAGCGGAAGTCGCCATGTTTCGGGCATTCCAATTCCAAACGTGGTCGAGTGAGATCGTTAGTTTTTCAAGTGCAGTATCCAGATTAGCGAGTGTAGTTCTATATTAATTCGTTCTGGATTACTGTAGTGATTTCTGACCGATCTGAGGGGTAAGTTGGCACTCTTTTTCTAATTGTAAAACTTCTGTAAGTGTACCCTTAATTTCTATTAATGTAGCAGTATATTAAAATTGTTATCCCTGAATTTGCTGGCTGGAGTTCGGGAGTTGACCGATATAAAAATATATATGGCCACGTGCGTTTAACCTTACCTTTACTAGTTAGTGCTGAAGCTAATATTTAAATGCGGTGTACTTTGTAAACCATCGTAACTGAATTATATTAATATTTAATTCAGTTAATAAATTCTGAAGAGCCCAGAGAACCAGCAAATTCGGGAAACCACGTGTTCCCTTTTTGCACACGCTTATCAGGGCTTTTACTATCTTCCCCCAGCCCTGCGGCATTTTTCATCATAACACCAAGGACTCAACGATTAGTACACAATTGTACCCATTGTCATGTCGCCATAGAATCGGCACAGACAAAGAGACAGTTTAAGGGATTTAATCCCAGTATTCATAACCGACTACTAGTCGTAATTGTAACCGACCACGTGTCGAATTTTTCTAAACGACCACGTGTCGTATCTGAACTTTAAGAACATCAGCGGTGGATTATCTACAAGAGGATATCACAAGAAATAAGATCTACCAGAAGCCAAGTGTTCCGGTTTCCCCATCAAGTCCAGCCTTTGGGAGTATCCACGGGTGAGCTGTACTCGTGCGGGGAAGGAACTGGACCCAGTAGACATTTCTCTTATGATGATAACCATTTGGTTTAAAAACAAACACCAAACCACTGTCAATTTTTTAGCCAGTCAGCTGTCAGTAGAATTAAAGCGACATCATTCTTCATTCACTACTATTCTCGTCTGTCTTTGTTGCTGTGCGTGAGTAATAGTTGAGTGAGCGAGAAAGGGGCATTCTTCGCTTTCTTTCTCTGGGGGCTCTTTCTTTAAAAGTGGCAGAGGAGTTGCCACCAGGATACCTAGTCGGCCTAGCACCACCCATCGGAGCAGGGTAGACTTATCTTCCTGTCCTCTGTCCCAGGAGCAATATCTCGGTCTCTCTACCCTTGTAGACAATGAAGTACCATACTTCTAGTGAGCCACACTTATAGACTGAAGATACCTCCTGTATAGGAACCCTACCCTTCCTAGGGCCCTCCTATAGTTGTGACAGGACAGTTGGCTTCTAGATAACACTGTTTAAACCAATGCAAGGCGCACAGCTGGAATCGAACCAGGCACCCTGGCATTATAAACCTCTTTCGCAACGCCTAAGCCACATACGCTGACCTTTTGATAATGCAATTACAAATTATTTTATTTTTAAAAAGACCAATATTTTTCCCAAAATGGTAAATAAATATGATTATGATTTAGCATAATAGTCTCTTGCAGATTTATCTTCTTAGCAAAACACAATGAACAAATCAATAAAAATTAAAGAAGAATTGGTTACTTTCACAATAACACAATCAAAAAAGACAAAATGAATGATGGGGCTGGAAAACCTTTATCAGAGTACAACAACATCAGATACAACAGTATTAAAAAAGTTCTGTGCTGTCTCCACAATAAAAGTTGGCTCCAGTGTACCACTACTGTCTTGAGAAGATTACACAGTGAATGTCAGTCCTAATGTAGATTCTATGGCCCATTTTTGAGGCAATGTCCCCCTAACAAGCGTGTCGTAAAGGCTGACTAATTAGGGATGCATCCTTTGAAGTCGGAGTGTATCTGCCTGAGACCCGTGGGAGCAACACTCTGCATAAAAATTAATCAGATCTGTAATACAGATATGCATGCACAACTAAAGTCCTGCAATAAGGCCAAAGACCAGAAGTGGAAAAACAATCATAACTTTCCTCTGGGGTTTACAGCTGGTTAACACATAAAGGAACAAACAACCAGCATTTTTTTTTTCCAACTTTCTATTTATGCAAAAGATTTTCTCAGCCATGTCAGTAAAAATCAAAATAAATAAATCGACTGAATGTCACCACTGCAGCACTTTGGTTATCATAATTAACGCTCCAGTGACAAATACAAGATTTCTAATCTCTACGCAGCACAAGATGTAACATTAGCTGAAAAATGTAATTTCTTGATATCAGATTTAAGAAATAAACTGCCATCTACATTTGTTTTTGGTTCACTCTCAGATGGATTTCCCCAGTTTTAGCGAGCCATGAGTGTAAAAAGGTTGAGGAGGAGGGGGGGTCGTGAGCCTGAGGATTTAAGGCTAGTGCAGCTGCCATTAACTGTGCAGGCAATTATTGATATTTTACCCCAGCCAAAAGGAATCTATATCCCCTACGGAGGAGGGAACCAGGGATCTGCCACATGAGAGCCAAGCGTTGTAACCATTCAGCCAGCTATGTAGTTACTTAAAAGTAAAAGGCTGTTTGACGGACAGATTAACAGGAATCAATTTGACTATACTCTGGGCAAAACCCAAAAGAATTTTCTCTTGGCAAATGTCAGGAGAGGTGGGGTTCTGAATGTTTACCTAGTTGACTACACTCACTGCCTGTGATCATTCATGATACTTCATGAGAGAAATGTCTACTAGGTAGTAAAGGGCTCTAACTAGGGGTATGATTGTTGGCCAATACTGTTGCAACCGCACATACCATAATGGGAAAAGCAATCATTAGCACCAGGCTGGTTCCTTCTTTCTTTATCATGTGACCTTTATAACTGTCCACCACTAGCAATCTCAGGCATCCTTCAAGTCTTTTCATTCTGGCTGATGTGAAGCGCCATCTGTAAATAAAACTGCAGAAGTTGGGCAACAGACAAGAAATGGTTTTATATCATCTACTGGTACAAGCACAAATATAGGAAATAAAATTTACATGCAGTGTCGCCTTGATTTACAACCAAGTTCCGTGTCAAACAAAAGCACTTCAGTCGGACTGGTCGTATGTCGAATTTATATTTTTTCAACACAACTTTCATTTAAATAGGTTACAGAAACTGTATATAAAGCACAAAAATGCAATTTTTGTACGTTTAATTGTTGTACACAGGCATCTAAGTAAACACACCAGTCATCAGCTCCAGGAACTTAACACTACCAATGTAGTTCTCTTTCTTTCTTTACTATTTTTTTTAAATAGTCGTAACACTGGATGGTCTTAGTCACAAAGGACTAAGTCGAGGAGAAAATATAACACATTTTGAAGCAAAACTAACTCACTTTGTCTCACATATACATGCCCTCTGTATAAGTTTTAACAAAACTTTCGGCTGGTTACCTAGCTCTCATACCAGACCATCACCTAGCAAGAGTATTTTATGGGAAGCTCCAGCAAGGGAAGAGGTCCCAGGGAAAAACGCGCTATAAAGACTCCCAAAACTGCTCTCAATTCTTTTGGCACTGGCGCAACAACGTGGAAGGCTGCTGCACAAGACCATTCTGGACGGCATAGATCCCTTAGGCATGGTGAAACAACCGACCAGGCAGCGGAGGTTGCACAGCAGAGAAACGGAGGCAGACTAGAAAGAACCGTATTGTTAATCATACAAGTTCACAGTGACTGCATGAGCCATGTCACCATACATTCTTAGGTTAAAGCTAACTCTGTCTTAAAATGTCATATTTACAGTTGCAAATGTTTTTAATGAAGCAAATTTTTATCCAAATAGGCCTTCAGACAATGTCTGAGATCAAGATTATATTTTGTGTCATCTTATATGTGTATATATATATATATATATATATATATATATATATATATATATATATATATATATATATATATATATATATATATATATATATATATATATATATATATATGTATTTAAATATAATGCATATAGTTTTTATATACCTATTTACTATATACAATTTACTATACATATATAAAATGTACCTTTAGTAACCGTGACCTTTGCTAGCATCTCTCTGAGTGTTTCAACAGGAATATCATACATTTCCAGTAAGCTTTTCACAGGGTCTTGTTTGAAATTATCATCTATAGAGATATAAAACACAACAGGTCAAATAGTGTCACAACAAAACTCTGAAAAGTAGATAAAGTTCACTGTAATACTTGGTTCAGTGTCAAAAATTTAAGAGCATGCATCTTTCCTGTAGCAACACATGGATGTGAGTGGTGGACTAGCAACACATGGATGTGAGTGGTGGACTGCATGAGCACTTAATGAGGTCCATGGATGTGAGTGGTGGACTAGCAGCATATGGATGTGAGTGGTGGACTGCATGAGCACTTAATGAGGTCCATGGATGTGAGTGGTGGACTAGCAACACATGGATGTGAGTGGTGGACTAGCAACACATGGATGTGAGTGGTGGACTAGCAACACATGGATGTGAGTGGTGGACTAGCAACACATGGATGTGAGTGGTGGACTAGCAACACATGGATGTGAGTATTGGACTAGAAACACATGGATGTGAGTGGTGGACTAGCAACACATGGATGTGAGTGGTGGACTAGCAACACATGGATGTGAGTGGTGGACTAGCAACACATAGATGTGAGTGGTGGACTAGCAACACATGGATGTGAGTGGTGGACTAGCAACACATGGATGTGAGTGGTGGACTATCTCACAGTCAAAGAAGACAACAGAACACCATGGACCAAGCATAAGAAACAACATCCTAAACGATATGCACATTAGGAAATATTGGCTAGCAAACAGCATCTTGTCCTGGAAACAGGAAAATTCTGGCCTCATTAAGTGCCATGGCAAACTGGAAAGAAATCAGCAGAAGGCCTGGTATCAGGAAATTGGGGTAGGGGGTGACCAGAGCGAAGTGGGCACATGATTAGGAGACTCACTGGGAAGGAATCTGCACAAAGTGGGAGAGCTGGCAGGAGATTGAGTTCCTTTAAGAAAGACTGAGGAGATCGGCGTTCCGCAAAGGACCTGGACCATAATGATTATGATGACTGGTTCCAAAATGAACAACTATAATACAGAAGACAGTAGGGACATTTAGAACTAATGGTAAAAGTAGTTCTATGCATTGTGGTTTTGTTAAAGAACTTGAGTTTCGCGTTACACTTGTTTTACAGATTTGGTTTATTTCTGTGCAGATTGCTGGCTCTTCATCTCTTGGAAAGAAGCACCCTTAATTAGTAGCCCTTTTAGACATGCTTGTTAGGGAGGTAGCTGGTCTATTCTATTTCCCACATGGGTCAAAAGCATCCATACAGGGATGGAATGTTAGTGATTCAGATGTTCTGAAATAAGTCAAGACATATTACAAACTCCAGAAAGAAGCAGTCATCATTCTTTTACCATATTATAAACAGAGAAAAACTGGAAAATGTAACAGCTGGACACACTGATGGAAAGAAAGACAGAGGAAGACAACTATCAAGATTCATTTGTCATGGCATGGAGGGGTGTCAGCCACAGACTGATACATGACATGGAGGGGTGTCAGCCACAGACTCATACATGACATGGTGGGGTGTCAGCCACAGAATGATACATGGCATGGAGGGGTGTCAGCCACAGAATGATACATGGCATGGAGGGGTATCAGCCACAGACTGATACATGGCATAGAGGGGTGTCAGCCACAGACTGATACATGACATGGAGGGGTATCAGCCACAGACTGATACATGGCATGGCGGGGTGTCAGCCACAGACTGATACATGACATGGTGGGGTGTCAGCCACAGAATGATACATGGCATGGAGGGGTATCAGCCACAGACTGATACATGGCATGGAAGTCTGTCAGCCACAGACTATGGCATGGAGGGGTGTCAGCCACAGACTGATACATGGCATGGAGGGGTGTCAGCCACAGACTGATACATGGCATGGAGGGGTGTCAGCCACAGACTGATACATGGCATGGAGGTCTGTCAGCTACAGACTGATACATGGCATGGAGGGGTGTCAGCCACAGACTGATACATGGCATGGAGTGTTGTCAGCCACAGAATGATACATGGCATGGAGTGGTGTCAGCCACAGACTGATACATGGCATGGAGGGGTGTCAGCCACAGACTGATACATGGCATGGAGGGGTGTCAGCCACAGACTAACACATGTCTGTTGGAGACTGCAAATGTGGAGAAGTGTGACAGCCAGCACCAACTAGCAAGGTTTTTGATTTTATTAACTCTTTCAGCAAATAAATGCTTTAAAAAATTGCAGTGAACCCATGAGATTTAAAAGAAAAACAAATATTTTACATAGGTAAGGAATGAAGTGTTGAATAATTTATCTACATTCTATTCTTTGTTCTCCAAAATGGAGCCCCATAAAGGACCCTTTTCCACGCCTTGAGGCATCTTGAACACATAAGGCTAGACTTATATATATTTTATAGACCAATCGGCACTTGGAGAGTGATGTTGTCAATATCACACTGGCCACCTTTACTTCCCAGAACTCTACCTGGTACCCATTTAAAGCTGGCACAATCTGGGAGCCAACGTCATTTTGGGAAAAAGTTTAGTTCCATCAGGACCTAAACCCACGACCTTTAGATCCGCAGGCCAAGTTTCTAGCTGTTACAACACAGCATCTCCTCAGAAGCCACATTTTTATAAGACAAACATCAGAGACGAACTGGCCATTGAAAACCCAGGCTCTAATAAAGGCAGAAAGTCTTCTTATAAAATAATACATGGCCAAAGCATTGAATAAAAACAAAATACACAAACCTCCAGATATTTTTACCGCTTCAAGCAACACTCTCATTTTTTCTAATGGAATATCATACGTTTCAAGAATGGCTTTTACTGGTGCACTGTTTATCTCTTGTTCTGCAGGGAAATAAAACATACCAAATTAACCAATTCAGCAGATATCTAAACATGAAGTCTTAACAAGGTTAAATTTAGAGCTATGATTGTCAAAAACTTGACCCTCAATGAGTGAAATCAATCAATTCACTGAACACATGGAATATTCCTCCTGTGGGTTGCAGGGCTCCATTTGGGAGGCGGGTAGGAGAGAAGATAGACCCAGTACTTCCCTAACAAGTGTGTCATAAAGTCAACTAATTAGCGATGCTTCCTTTGAAGTCAGAGTGCATATGACAGGCAAGCAATCGTCTGTGTACAAATAAGCCAGATGCGTAAAATGGATATACGCGCAAAACTCAAGTTCTGGAACAAAAGTCCAGAAGTGGACAACCAACCGGTTTACAGCGGTAAACGTTAAGAAGAATAAAATCGAACACTTCAGTGAAGTTAAACCAGGGACTTTCATTTTCAATTACTGAAAACTAAACAATTATCATTATCTTCCAATTTTACTAGCAAGTGTCATGAGAAGGATACACTACTGGTTTAGTGCTTGATGGGTAGCATGGGCTATTCACCAGCGTGCACATTTTTATTTAAAATATTCCATTCACTTCATAAACCATTGGAGAAAAGGGTCACGAGCCTGGGAGATTCACCCCCCCCCCCCCGCTTTCCCCCCCGCCAAAAAATGAACTCTTTCAGTCCTAGAAGATCACAGCCAACGTCCAGTTGTGACAACAATGGCAATGAAATTATAGGTATACTACCACCCCAGGGACTAAAAATACAACAAAATCAAAGAGACAAATGTGTTGCCCTAACTGTACTTAAAACACAGACACACACATAAGATTATTTCAGGCCGAATGTAGTATCCCACCATACATGTTGCATTTTTTGGTACTTAAAGAGTTAACCTTTTTTACAGAACACTCTAATAAATTGTGAATTTTTACAAATATTCATTATTTATTTTATATTATATTATAAAATTATTGTAGAAATGTATGGAGAGGACTGAAGACACAAATGAGAGAAGAAAACAATGACAGCAATTGTTGGTTAAAGATCATAACTATGCTTACCAATTTCTGCCACTGTTTCTTGATGGGAGCGGGATACCAGCTGTGGCTAAAATAAGGAACAAGTGAACATTTACAGAGAAACATTGACATGCAATCTGGCATCCACCAGATGGTAAATGGTGAAGTGGCCTCTAGATACAGAGGTTAGGTTAACTGAGAAACAAATAGCCACGGAGCATACAGGCAATGGTTTCTGTGAGAGGTCAGCTGGTCAGGCAGTCTCAGAACTCTGGCCAGCAGCAGGTAATATAACCTGTCTTCAGAGTCTCTCACTTTAATAACATAACATAAGATAATCCTTGACCCATTAGGGTCGTGGAGGTGTATTGATGGAAGCACTAGCTCATAAAACTCGTCATCTTTTTCTGTCTTCTGCTTGATGAATAACTATATGATAAATTAGTCCTGTCCATTTCTTGATGGTGTCATTCCAATTTCTTCTTTGTCCTCCTCTTCTTCGACTACCCTCCAATGTTCCTTGAGGTACAGTCTTTGCAATCGAATCATGTCTCATCACGTGCCCAAACCAAGCTAGCTTTAGACTAAAGCAAATGGAGTTAAAAAACCACATACTACAAGTGAAAGATAAGGGGAAACCTCAGATGGAATTAAATGGATACAGATCAAAAACACTATCTTAACAAACATGTGTGGGGTCAGCAATGAGTGGTTATGTGAAATTGGTTTAAAATGTGTCACTAAAGTAAAATTGTTCAATACACCCTTGTTTCCTCATGTATAGCAAGGTAAGTGCAACTACTACGGTTCACTAGAATGCTGACACTTTTATTTCAATGTTGCTAAAGAACATATCATCCTCATCATGTGCCCTGCCAACTGGCGTAGGCGCTCATGCGTCTCCACAGATCACAATCCCTGGTTGCCTGGAACAGCTTTCTTGATGATATCCCTCCATGCCATCGTTTCAGCCTATCCAGCATCATCTCTCTGGGTCTGCCTCTACCCCTTTTTCCATTGATCTTTCCAGTTGTCACGATGTTCTCCAATTACTCTCTTCTCATTATGTGGCCAAAGAACACAAATTGAAAGCTTCGTAATAACTGTTTTTCTTTTTAAAGGAAACTATATTGACAGCTATACAGGATGTGACACACAAGTAAAAAAACATGAAACTTGAGAGACGCCAAGAAGGCCACGTAAGAGAAAGGCCTGTACTCCACATCTAAATGTTGCTACAGGGAAAACGCAGGCCCTCAAAATTCTGACCTTGATTTCCATAATGGTGCTTAGCCATAGACTTTTAATGCTGTTTAATCAGAAAAAATGAAGGATCAAAGGCTTGTAACAAATTGGTTCAGGGGCTGTTTTTTTTTATTCGCTGGGAAATCTTTTGCGCTCACCCTTAAAAAGATGTTGGCACGCTGGGCTGTCATTTACAGATATGCATCTGTTGGCCCAATACATCTGATTACAGTAAATCCCTCATTATTTGTCTTTTACAACATGCTTGTTGGGGGTGGGGGGGGGGGGGGGGGGCGCTCTGGGTCTACCCACCCCCTCCCTGAAACCACACAGAAGTTTTGGGAGATGAAAGGCAGAAGAAATCAGGAGACTGAACTAACCACAGGGAACAGAACTAGCCATAGGGAACAGAATTACCCATAGGGAACAGAACTAGCCATAGGGAACAGAATTAACCGTAGGGAACAGAATTAACCATAGGGAACAGAATTAACCCCAGGGGCAAAGTTCCCAAGTACAGAAGACTAAACCCCTAGCCAGTGTATTGGAAAACCAGTTTATTAACCAACACTGCTACCATACTTCTTAGTCCTTACCTTTAAGTCAGGTGTTCTGGTTTCCAACTCTCTTTCCATTGTTGTCCCAGAAGAAGCAGCAGCCTGATTAACCTCTCTGCTCCTTGGGATCATGTTGCTCTCTTGTTCTGTACTGCTCTGTTGTCTCACGCTGCCCAAATGTTCTGAGCCCTTCTCTAGAATCTGTTTTACATATTCTGATCCCTTAATCGAATGAACATAAGGACAGTATGGAGACCATTTAGCATGCTCACACCAAGGGTCATCTCCGGGCTCCCAATTAGCCAGTGCTTGCCCACAGGAGAAACATATGGCTTTATCAGATGTTCCTGAAAGATAGTTGAGAAAAAAAAAAAGACATAAATTTATTACCTTTGTTTATATACACATAAATTCAGTTAAACATAAAGTCAACATGATTGATTTCACTGCCAGGGATTATCCCATACAGCTCAGTCTCTCTGTGCAGGATTTTCTAGCTGTCTGTCAAAAGCACAAACTCTGTAGCCCCAGCAATGATCTCCAGGGATCCCTGTAAAAACAGCACTTGTGAACTGAATGATGTGTCAGTGAAATGAACTTATGACCTTCTGAGTACGAGGCAAACAACTTGCCCACCTCACCGTTGCACACACACACACACAATTAAAAATAAAAATAACTAATGGATACAACAGACACAAAAATACAATTGCTATTTCCAAACAGCTAGAAACTAACAAGAAGTGAATCATAGACAGTTGGAATATTAGTAAAAACTCATCTGGAAGCACTGGAGATGTGGCTTCATAGACAAATCTTGAGAATACCCACCCTGGACAAATAAAGAGTAATGAAGATGTCTTGAAAGAAACTGACTCAAAAATATCAGTGATCGCTCACATCAGGAAACAGTCTATAATCTTTAGCTGTGTCGTCAGAGGGAGAAAACTGGAGTACATTACGATGATAGGACAGTTGGAGGGGAAAAGAGGCAGAGGAAGACAGAGAAAAGATGCTGAGCAATCTGACATGGCATGGAAGATCACCTGTGTCAGAACTGACTGAAAGCACATGAGACAGAAGGTTGTTAACAGACAGAACTACCAATGCCACACGGAAGTGACTACAAGAAGAAGAAGAGCTAATAAATATTACAGGTAGTCCTATTCCAGATGGTATATAAAGTCTTGGAAATTCACACCTTCACATCGGCAACAGGGTCGCCCATTGTTTCACTAGCAGGCGACTTCGCCGGCAGTCGGGACAGTATTTGGGTTCGTCTCCTTTGATCGCATCAACACTGCAGGAGAACTTTTCAGGGCTCTTGGTGGCGTGCAATGCTAAGCCATTCTATATAGCACACTTAACCTAGACAATTTTTTTTTTCCAGCAAAGCAAAGCACCTTCTACACCACGGCAGATAAGGTGGGATGCTCTGTTAATTTACAACTACAGCTCCAAGTTAAAAAGTCAACCCAAATCTCAGAGTGTACAGTTCAGCCAAATCTTCTGGTCACTCTCTCTCTTCAGATTGTAAGGATACATTTGAGCTCCCACATTAGTCACTCGACCCCGTGTGGGTTCCAGGGCCCCATTGTGGGAAAAACAAGAATAGACCCACTGCCTACCCAAAAGCATGTTGTAAGAGTCGACTTATAGGGGAGCTTCCTCTGAAGTCGGAGTGCATCTGCCTGAGGGGCAAGGAACCAACAGTCTGCATTCAAGTGAATCAGATCTGTAAAACTGATGCACATGCAACACACAGGTTCTGGAGTAGGACTGCAGTTCAGAAGTGGACGAACAATCAGAACTTTCTGCCAGAATTTACAGCTGGTGAACGCGAAAAAGAAGAAGTCACTTGACATCTAACTTGTCACTCATCAAATCACCATCAAGGGGTGCATAACCAGTCAATTTATCTGATTGTTCAATCTGTCTGACTGTTCAATCGTCTGACTGTTTATTTCCCACATTCTTGCTGTGCAGTAAAGAGGGAATAAAATGGTAAGACTGAATCATTTATTAAACCTTTTGCCCGAGAAGCTGCAAAACCGACCCTTCCGGCTGCATCCTGTTCCCCTCACACGCCATGTTCCTCATGTGTCTATTGTGATCTGTTTACAAGACACACAGTTAACTTGACTGGCCATTTTGACGCCTGTGCAAATATTTGGGCGGTCAGGATATGAATACATGGACTACAAATCTCATTTAAGGAGTTTTTTTTTGTTTTTGCCAAATACTTTTCTTAAATCTTAAAACCAAGGTGGTGTCAAATTCCCTGTAAGCCTCAGTGAAAAGATGGACTGGATAAGATACACAGTGAAAAAAGATGGACTGGATAAGATACACAGTGAAAAAGATGGACTGGATAAGATACACAGTGAAAAATAAAACTAAAATGTTCCTGCCCTGCGACACCCCCCTCCCCTTTCCCCCAAGATAACTTTAAAAAAAATGGAGAAGCGAATCAGAGACAAAGATTAGCACTGAGAAGATAATATGGCAAAGATAAGGTGGGAGCTGTAGGAGATTCATTCACTGTCCTATTTTAGCTTTTGAACAACGGATCAACATCATGGCACATGGGTAGTAACCCGTAAGTGCTCCGTTCTTCTTCTAACTCAAGCCTGAGTCCGAAGAAGTTTAGCATAGTGCATAGGCTCTGTAGCACCGGCGAGGACGCTCACATACTTTGGGTAGATTTTTATCTCAAAATTTGGCCCGGACAACGCCGTTAGGCTACTCTTTTCGATTTCCAACTGCCAATGGATTTTTTACGTGCGCAAAAATGCACATGGGCGTCCGATCTTACTACCCAGAGGTAATTACTAGAAGTCCAGGTCCATGTGAAAAAAAAGTCCCAGCCCTCACTGGGGATTGAACCCAGAACCTCTAGCACTCGAGGCGGACACCATGCCTTGAGACCATGGAGCTCCTTCACATTCCAATTGTACCATTAATGAGACACAGGACTCACAGTCTATTTCTCCAATCTGTTCTATCCTGCACAGTCGCCTCGATGTTGTAGATGGAACCCAGAATTGTACTTTTCCCTTATCTCATCAAGAATCACCTCAGCGTTTCTCTCATTTCCTCAATCCCTTTATTTCCCACTCCAGCGCCTGTCTGCTGATTCTCTGCTGGTGTCTTCTCAGAATGTGTCCAATATAGCGCCATCTTTTCGTCTCATAACTGTTGATACTAATGGCTTCCCAGATTTTGTTCGTTTTTCTTCTTTCAGACAAAATGGCTTGGCTAGAGATGGTTAATTTTCCAAGTTTGTTAACTATAAACTCGGAAACTACTGAACTGATCGCTTTTAAACTTTCACACAATGTTGCCTTTGACTCAAAGCGTGATTTTTTTGTCAGAAAATTGCACAAACCACGAACGACGTAGCTCCAGCAACGGTCAAATCATTATTTGTTTCATTGCCGGCCCGGATTTGTTTTTAGTTTGATTGGCCATTTTGACTGCTGAGCTATTTTTGAACATTGCATTACTATATAATTTCATTTCCACTATCTTTTTGAGTATTTGGCAGCGTAGTTGTAACTATTCTGCTTATCATGCTGGTGACCCGCGTTCGATTTCCCGCCAGGTGATATAATTTTTTTTGTTTAGCCCTTAACTGGGCGGCTGGCACGTTGTGGTTTATGGCCAGGCTGTGATATCTACGCCTTTTTTCGGTTTTGGGGTTTACAGCTAGCCTGCGACAGCGGCAATGTGATGACCAACAGTCACGTCACGGGTAATCTTCGTTCGCCCTCGAGATGGCTTTTGGCACGTTGTGTTGTGGTTTACAGCTAGGCTGAGATATCTGACCTAGACTCTTCAGTCTTCGGTAGTATAAATGTCATGCGGGTGACCGGTGTTTGATTCCCCGCTGGGTGATAATTGTTCTTTTTCCCTTAAAAGGGTGGTTGCCATGTTGTGTTGTGGTTTACTGCTAGGCTGCGATATCTGAGCCTATTGTCCAAAGACATCCGATTTCAGTTAAGTCCCAATTAGCCTCCCTGCGTCGTTTCTGGATCAAAAACTATTTGGCGATGACAGAAACTTAACTACGATGGCTTACAGTCCAGTTTAGTTTGGGTGGACACGGATGCCAAGGTCAGTTAACAATCGTTCCTTCGGAGAGGGAGAGATGATGGGTGCGGGATATTTTTCTTCGCTATTCGTGAGTATAGTGTACTTTTTATTGTGGGTTCCATCACTGGTTACATGATGAAGTTTTTTTTCTTCTATGTCTGGGGCAAAATTAAACTAAATAGTCCGTGGCGCCAGCATGCAGCGCTAACTGCTTTTTTCTACACCGACTGTAGTGACAGTTTTTGTTGTTGTGATGGCAGTAGTGGTTGCAGTAGTACTGGTACTGGATGGGTGATGTGGTAGCTGTTACACTGGCCACATTTAGTGCTACCTATTTAAGTCCGGGTGGACACGGACGCTAAGCTCAATTTAGTTACAATATTTCGTCACATGGTGACTTTCCCATCCTTCGGGGAGGATGATATGATTAGGGAAAGGGGGGGGGGGGGGTTATGCCAGACACAGTTAGCTGAGAGAGCTTAAAATATTATTTTAAAGTTCTCATTTCTTAACTATTTCTATTTTAATAATTTCGCCAGGTGATGATTTTGCAATCCTACGGAGAGGGAGATATGATTGGTGGAAGGAGGGGGGGGGAGGGGGGGGGTACAGCGTGGCCGGGTACAGCTAGTGGGGATTTAAGCCAAAAGGAGTTAATGAGTAAATAATAATGGGGCAGCAACAAATAATGACCAGCATTATGACAATTATCTTTTACAAAAATAAAATTGACGGGATCCTATTCCATGTCTTCAGGCGTATTGGGCATATCGGGCTAGACCTATATTTTATAGATCAATTGGCACTTTAATGGGCCCTTACTTCTCAGGACAGCACCTGGTACCCACTCAAGGCTGGGTCGACTTGGGAGCCAAGGTCAATTTTGAAAAAAGTCCAGTTCCATCAGAGCCTGACCCCATGACCTTCCAATCCGCAGGCGAGGAGACAATTAGCAAATGTAAATAACCCATGTAGATCCCAAAGGCCAATTTGATAGAAGCCTAGCTGTAAACCACAATAAAATGTGTCAACTGCTCTTTCAAGGGCACAGGCAGAAGAATAAAACATGTCAATATTACTTGTCTCAGTGAATCAACACTAAACTCTAATCTGTATGGAACTAGAAGAGCTCAAGAGACCAGGGAATGAAAAAAAGTTTCTGAAAGAAACAAGAATGTGAAGTATTTCAGTCACATTAAAAAGACATACCCTTTTATCAAATCCATCCTGGAGCGAAAAGTTGATAGTGATACAAGTGGGATGATGACATCAAAAGACTAATAAACAGCAGTCTGTATAGAGAGGACAAGAGTCAGAGGGTACTGGAGACCAAATCAGACAATGTTAATTGAGATGGCACCTGTCTGATTGAAGGGAATGTTCAGGATATTCAGATGTGCGAGGTAATGAGCAAGCATACAGGTGGACTTCTGCCACTTTTCTAGGTGGTGAGATGCTTTACGATAAAGCCTCTCTGGGGTCAAATGAGTGGTGCAAAAGAAGAAACAGAAAGTCCATACCTTGAAAGACTATTCAGCACGGGCGTGCAAAGCATCTGGAAGAAATTCAACAATGAAGGGGAAATGTAGCTGGACTTTTAAACAGGCTGCATTTGGTGCTATTAGCATACAGACTCTTTCTTGGCTACTGAGGAAAGAGACTGGGCACACGTGGGAATGTCCTGAGTGTCAGGATGTCAATTCTTGATTTATTCATTCACACAAATTAAGGATTGAGTTCATCATGAGAACTGGCCCAATGATGTAATCATCAAAGACAGTGATGTCAAGAAGAAGCAAACAAAACACGAAGGAAAGGTCCAATCTGAAATCTTATAACATCACTTACCAGTGTAATACAATCCTGCTTCTGCCAAAGCATCAGGTCTTATATGTGCTTGTCTTGGCCATCCCTCAAATGATTTCAAACGCTGAGAGAAATCTTGCATGCAGGAAACTGCACTCTCTCCTGTTGGCTTCATCTTCAAACTGAGGATATTCAAATCAAGATCTTGATGTTAAAGATTCTTGAACCTCACCTATTTCTAGAATTTGGCACTGCTTCCAGGACTTGAGTTTTGCATGTACATCCATTTTACTAATCTTTACAGTTTGTTGTTCCTTGCCAACCAGGCAGATGGATTTTAACTTTGAATGGTATTTCAGGTATCAAAATACAATATTAGGTAATTTCTCTTTCTTTCTCTCTTACTTACTTATACAGAAAGAGTGTCATATGTTAGGATATCCAATAGATTTTTAGCTATTAAACTTAATCATTGACTCAAAGAGAGTGAGAGAGCGAGATATAGAGAGAGAATGTGTCATACGTGAGGAAATCATTTAACAGTCAGTGACTGTCAGGTACCATGTTGGTGAGGATCACAGTGGAAAGGTCCCGGAAACCGTGTTCAGCCTTTAGGCCATATTTATTGCTTGGATATATTGCGGCCCCTGGCAAGAGCCAGAATAGGGCTTCAAATAATGAAAAATTGCATCCTAAAAAGGACGGCAGAAGAGAGAGAGAGAGAGAAAGATTTATCTATACCATAAATCACAAACCCTCTTTGTAGTTCATGTGTTGATTATAAAGGAAGTGTTAACACGTTCCAAACCATAACTATAATGTTTAACAGTCACGCTGTTGGTTCAGGTTATTTTGCATTTCTTTAATTACTATGAGAATCAGTCAAAGAAAACTTTCACTCGAGTTATATCCCTTTTTTTATTTAACGGTTACTTTCCTTGAAAAGCTAATTTAACAAAAATTATATTTCACTGTTATCTCCCTTGAAACCATATATCTATATGTGTCTGAGACCATACATTTGTCTTTCTTCTAAACTGTTGAATACTGGTGTTAGTATTACAGGGAATGCTCTGTTGCACCTAAATATACGACAGTGGTGGAGACAAAGTGAAGTTCAATACAGGATATTAAATACTTAGTTACATCCCTTTTTTAATTTAACTGTTACTTCCCTTGAAAGCTAATTTCAAAAAATTATTTCACTGTTATCTTCCTATATATATATATATATATATATATATATATATATATATATATATATATATATATATATATATATATATATGCATCTTAGACCATACATTTGTCTGTCTTCCAAACTGTTAAATACTGCTGTTAGTGTTACAGGGGATGCACCTAAATATACAACAGTGGTGGAGACAAAGATAAAGTTCAATACAGGATATTAAATACAGGGTTTTAGTTAGACCCCTATTTCCACTAGGTCTACCTACAGGGCAGCAGATGAGGTACAGGATCAGAGATTTAGACTTGCTTTCACTATCCCGGGTGAAGCCGGGTAATCAAATCTAGTAACTTATAAATGTAAACCCAATCAAGCCACCATGACGATTAATCTCACACTGTCTTAACAAGCATAGTTTATGTATGTCTGGACAGCTCAGGCAGCAGGATATGATTTTCATTATTCTGGTAAAGTTGAAAACCAGGCTACTCTATTACTGTGATGGAGAAACTCTTTCACCACTGTATCTGATTTTGCTTTATGCTGGTGAAGGAAAGAGCCAATAAATAGACAGATGATCAGCTTGATTCACACTTGCACTTCAAACTGATTCTGTCAATTCTCAGTCAATCAGGTGCTATCCCCACAATGAAGGTTGGTTACAATGGATCTCCAACACACACTGTCTTTTGACTTGGTAGTATACTCTCAGACTGCTGTTAATTTATCTCTGAATGTTGTCATCCCACTTGCATCATTGTCTGCTTCTCATTCTCTTGCCTTTAACTTGTCTACCCAATATAGTTTTTAAAGGACTGTTATGTCTTTTAATTCCTGTGTGGGTTCTGGGGCCCCATTAGGAGGGGAGGAGGGGGGCGGGGTAAACCCCTGCCCCCTAACTAGCATACTCTAAAAGGCAACCAATCAGGGATGTTTTCTTTGAACTCATAGTGCATCTTTCTGAAATACAAGGAGCCAACAGTCCTCATGCAAATAAGCCAGATCTGCAAAATAAGTGGCCAAGCAAAAATTCAAGTTCTAGAGCAAGGAAAAAATCTAGTGGTAACCAAACCACCAGAACTGTCTGCCGGAGTTTACAGCCAATGAACTCAATCAAAGAAGAAATTGTCTTTTAATGTGGCCAAAATATTTCAAATGTCAATTTTGTGTACATTTAAATATTGAAAAAAATTAGCAGTCAATAAATTACTCACCCAAAAGATTTTTTCATGCTTTCTGTTGCATTAAGAGGGATATTCAAACTATCACACTCTCCTTTGACCCACGGGCAAAATGGATAATGTCTTCTGTGCTCGCCTTCCACAGAGTCACCAACCTCCCACCCTCTGAGAGTTTTTAAACAAAAAACACACTTCACTTTATCACCTGGACCAATGTGGATAAACCCATCCCTAGCCAGGTCCTTAGGTTTTACATGGTAATCTTCCAGCCATCTGTCTTGGAAGGTCTTCAGCCTTTCTGCCTCACTGTAGTATCGGCTATCAGTTGCATAAGCAATATTCCGTGATTCAGCAATCGGATTGGATGTTGTGACAGTCTCGTCAAACGGCTCTGAGAATATTTCACCTGGACGACGAGCTACAAACACTTGCTGATACTCCATCTCCATCCCACCTAGGGAATTTTGTCGGACTGTAAGCATGTCAACTGGTGTTCCTTGAAAGAATCTGCCTCGGTCCTCACCTGGTCCAACATCGTAGCCAGACCGTCCAGATGTATTCCTCCCAAAACCAAATCCATCATCCATTTTGAAATATTAAAATATCCAACTTGTTAAAAGTCATGAATCTGAAACCACAACAAAACAGTAGTTAAGGTTACAAAGAAAACAATTTCAACAATAATATAAACTTACTGTGCAAGATAAACTGAGTGTAATAAAAACAATTTTTGTAATAAAAACTAAGTGTGTACAACAAACTGAGTGCGTAAAAGAAATTAAATGTGTTATACAGATTCAGTTCACAATATAAACTGTGTATGTAATATACAATGATTGGTTAACTCTTCCTGGATTGGTAGCCACTTTAAGTTGTTTTTGAATCCATCCCGTCGACTATTCCCCACTATAGTGGAGCTTCAAAGAGACACTCTAATATTATTTTGTTTGCTAGAAAAACAAATTTGTATGAACATGTTTTGAAAAATTCGAATTAGCAAAGAATTCTTTCGCTCCTGAAGTTTGGCATTGTGTTTGTGTAGCTTTCTGATTAAAAAAAAAATGTAAATAGATGTGATACCATTTTTATGTGATTTTTTCAGACCAAATGATAAGGGAAAAGGTCTAGAACTCTGTCGATGATTCTTAGTCAGACAGTGACAACAGTCTTGATATTATGATTGATAAATAATCGGTGAGGGTAAAGAAGAAAGAATAAGTATGTTCACTCAGTGACTCACTGTCACTGACCTGGTGTTATAATATATTCTATAATACTAAAAGTGGTGACCTTGACATCTTATACGTCAGTGTTCCTCAACCCTTTACACTAGTGGCCCACCAAAACAGCAAAAAGTTTTTCACATCTCACCTGACAACTAAGCAATCTTGAAACAAAAGCAATTCTAGTTAGCAGTTCACTTGTTAAATGTGATGTCACAAAATTACAATTTTCGGCTAACATCTGGATGATCTGCTGCTTCTAAGGGGTTAACATTTGCTTATATATATGTGGCTGAAGCCTTGTTTTTGATATACGAAGCGCTACAATAACATCCATTCAATTTCTCCATTTGGTTTTATCTTTTCACATAAACAGAAAGTATTTAAGGTATCGATCCTGTTGAGAAGAACCACTACCCTACATAGTAACATAAATGAGCTGAATTGTTTGGGCTTCACAGTGACTTTTCCATGCCAAATCAACGGGCCGTGGCCCATGGGTTGAAAAACACTGTCATAATAGATCATGATGTCTAAAAGCTTTAGGGTTAGGTTAACCGATGCCTGGTTCAGTAGTTGGTGGGCTATGAGACTGTGAAGTAGGAAAATACATTTAGCTGAGGAAACGTGAGTCAACTAGAGACTACAGTTGTTGCCTATTTAGTAGAAATAGAATGTTTAAGTAAACATTCATACTTAGGTACCTGAAAAGTGTAAAAAGTGAAGTTAAAAAGAAAAAAACTTTAATCTTAGAATCAGAACTAATGTAATTTTAGCGCATACTAAATATTTTATTCTTAGATTAACCTTTAGCACCCCACAGTCGAGTATACTGGACTTCCGCCGCTTATCCCGTAGCACCCCACAGTCGAGTATAGTCGACAACCTTATATGGTCGGGAAAATACCCAACTAAACGGAGCTATGCGTTTGACGTCACTTGAAAACTATAAATAACTATTCTACAGTGGTTTAACTTCCTGTAATGGCCGCGAATGGGCTTGTTGGCTCAATTTTTATAAGCCAGTTCGATATCCATCACCATCCTTCGAAATGGAATTTAATTTTTCTGAAATCTTCATGGATTCTGACTCTGACGATTAGATTTTGTGTTTTCATGCAGCCGATATCAGTCGCGAAGTTGACATGTCTGGAGAAGTAAGTGAAGGTAGTTCTGTTTACAGTGTGTCAGATTCTTAGAGATACGGAATACGTGGAGATGCATTACTAATTGGTGAGTCTTTATGTTTGTACTGTTTTTTTTACATTTTCCCCATTTCACTCTGTCCTCACACATCACCTATCAAACATACACCAACAAAACTCATATCGATGTATGCAGAAATCATTTGTTTATTTCAGTTTAAATAATTATGCAAAATTATTCATAAACCAAAAAGTTATAGTGTTTTTCATGTTTCCTCCATAAAAAACGCAAAATCTGAAAAAAATAAGGTGGGAGGCAAGGGAAATAATTTGAATTTTTATTGTGGGGTGCTAAAGGTTAAATAAATTATTCCCACCTACTGAATAACTGAGTTCCATCTCCAACTACTTTAGTGCACACTAGCTTTGCGTGGGTGTGGCTCTACTGAGTGATGAGTGAACCAGACCGACTCCCAACATCTGCCGGTAGTAGTAAGTTAAGGCAATTCTCATCAGCTCCTATCATATCAGTACATGTTCGAGTTTATCTGCTCCACAATCACAGGCAGCAGATTCGTGTATGCCTATCTTCTTGTCCAGGTGTGCTCGAACGAACATTCAAAGTTGCAGTCTGATAGTTCATCTACACATACACTTGAGATAGTTTTTTGGTTTATAATATAATTTCATTATCTATCATTGATTTGATCAAATCAACAAGATTTTATATCTTAACTATATACATTATTATATCATTAAGAATTATTTTGTTAATTAGTGTGTGTGTGTGTTATATATATATATATATATATATATATATATATATATATATATATATATATAGGCATAGTTGGGATAACTGACGTATCATACAGATAAGGAATATATTATTATGGCTATTACCCGAATAACGGTCCCAAATTATCAAGGCTGAAAATATACTCTTACAGGGCCTCAGTCACATGTAAATTGCGGACTTGCGGGAGTATCTCCCGCCCCGCTACACGTGGAGTGGGACTAAACAAGATGGTTGGGACTCACAAGCAAATAAAATGAAGGAAGCTGCAGGAGATGCGGTAGCTGCTGCTCGTGAGTCCCAGCCATATAGTTTAGCCCCGCGCTAAAGATTCTCTTGGCGGTGGCGGTAGTCGCCGGAAAACCGCAATTTACAAGTGACTGAGGCCCTGTTAAGGTATATTTTTGGCCTTGATAATTTGGGACCGTTATTCTCAGGATGGCCATTATTATTAATATTGTCTTTGGCTATCCTCCGAATAAGTTTTGAAAGCCCTATATTTTATTGGCTATCCTCCGAATAACGGGCACAAAAGATGGCGGCCGCAAAAACACCATAACAGAGCCTCAGTCACGTGTCAATTACGCACTTTCGGCGACTTCATTTGCGGTTTGCCGATGACTACCGCCGAGAGTATCCCCCACGCCGCTCACACGGCGTGGACTGGGGCTAAACTAGATGGCTAGGACTCACAAGCAGCAGCTTCCACATCTCCTGCAGCTTTGCTCGCGAGTCCTAGCCACCTAGTTTAGCCCAATCCACGCCGCATGAGCGGAGTGGGGGATACTCTCGGTGGTGGCAGTAGTCACCAGAAAACCGCAAATTAAGTGGCTGGAAGTGCGCAATTAACACGTGACTGGGGCCCTGTTTTTGGCCGCCATCTTTTGTGCCCGTTATTCGGGAGCTAGCCATTTTATTAAACGATATTTTCTAAATTCTTAAAAATTAGAGAGCTGTTTTTAAGCAACCGTGTAGTAAAAAAAGAAAAACCAGTAGTGTAATTTGGGCTCTCCTCCGAACTTCTACACCCGCATTATGGAGGCCTGAAATATTCGTTTGGGGCTTAGTTCTATTAAAAATATGCTGGCTCCGTATAACAAAACAAATGCTCTAACTGGGTCTCAGCGATATGTTACTTGCCGAGACGCAACACTGGAGACGATAGTAGCAGACGATAATAGCGACCGTTGACACTTCCCATTGTCGGACTTTCTGCAGAGGAACAAATATGTAAAATGGGGACTTGGACTTTATGCCGACGAACAAATCACGGCAAATGTAGGATCGGCTCAGAAAAACGAAACAAATGCTCTAACAGGGTCTCAGCGATATGTTACTTGCGGACCTGTTTCTGTGACTATGCCTCACCGCCGACGTTATCCCCCGCGCGGATAGGGGCTAAACTAGATGGCTGAGACTCACGAGCAGCAGCTACAGCATCTCCTGCAACTTCTTCCAATTACTTTGCTCGTGAGACCCAGGCACCTAGTTTAGCCCCCCATTCCCCCCGGGGGATACCCTCGGCGGTGAGTTTAATCGCGTTTTGCACATGCCGACAAGTCTGACATCTACCGCTGTTAAATCCTCAATCGGAAGAACAGTATTGCTAATCTGCGTGGGAGCGCTTGGTCTACCCGCCATATCGCTTTCATTGTCTGTAATATCTCGAAATTGTCAACGGTCGCTTTTATCGTCTGCAGAAACCTCGACATTGTTACCAGTCGCTTTTATTAGTTTTATCGTCCGCATTGCATTGTTGCGTCTCTTGAAATTGTCAAGTAATCATAGTTTTGCCGCGATTTGTTCCTTGGCAGAAAGTGAAGTCCGCATTTTTTTGGGGACTGAGCCCCGAACGGATATTTCAGGCCGCCATAATGCGGGGGTAGAAGTTCGGAGGAGAGCCTAATTTGTATTATTAATTTTAATAAATTATCACAATAAAGTAACTATAAACATAAATTAAAATTTATGTAAATTTATTTTTATCAAGAAGAAACTAAATTAACTCAATTAACAACTAAATCAGGCAGGCACCAGCCAGCGCATGGTGTTGATGATTGATCATGATGATCATCTGACAGGGGTTTAGGACAATTTCAAGTTGAAGTTGCTATGGAGTATTTTTAATACTATTATTATTATATGGACGAAATGGCATGGACGAGTAGTACTACTAGGGGTAGGCTTATTTTAAACAAAAAAAGGTAGTTTACCTTGTGAAACTTACGGGTTGATTATCCGTGAACCAAGAAAACCCCACAATCGTGAAGTATAATACCACAATTTTTTTTATTTTACAAAGAGATAATGTATTTTCTGTCGTAGTAGTGTAAACATGAAAAATGGCGATGAGGAAATCTCCGATGTTTGGTCATGCTTTTCTGGTTCGTTCATGCCAGGTACGTTTGGCCGTCAAGTCCAAT